CGAGAAAGCCCCAGCTACATAGGGAGAATCGATCATTGTCCCGATTCACAAGGTAGGCTCTCGCGAAGATTGCGCCAATTGCCGCAGAATTTCCTTGGTCTCTGTTGCGTCCAAAATTTTTGTATCTGTTCTACTTCGCAAGCTTCCAGCGACTAGGGAAGGCTCTTCCCGAGAGCAACAAGCGGATTTTCGTCTTGGACCAGATAATATCGATCAAATCTTTACACTCTGCGAACTTCTTGAACTCCGTCACGTCCACCGACGGCCAATGATCGTAGCGTTCTTAGACATCCGTGTGCAATTTGATTCTATAGATAGATCCCCTTTGTGGAACTCTCTGCTAAGGAAAGATGTGCCCGGATCTCTACAGACACACATCGGGCAAAGTCAGGGCTTACAGTGCACTTTCCTCTTCGTTTGCTGTCACCATCGGCGTGCGCCAAGGTTGTCCCGTTTCACCTTTCCTCTTCAATTTCGCCATTGAAGGCCATGCAAGGCCCTCATAACTGCGGTATTGAGCATCTCTTAGGTGACAGAGTCGCGGACTTGGACTACGCCGTTGATATCACTTTGCTTGGGGACGATCCACAAGCCGCCCAAAGCGCTTTGAACCGCTTAACGATGGAGGCGTCTAAGTATGGCCTGTATTTCACCCTAGGCAAATGTAAAGTACTACTCCAGGATTGGCACTTGCCCTTGTCTGCCCTCACCATTGCTGGTGACGTCCTGGAACAATCCCACGGCTTCATTTATCTACGGACTTGCATCACAGCTGGCGGCTGTATTGAACTCGATACCTCAACAGATTGCCAAGACCCGCCTTGCATTCAACAGACAGACACTTATGGCGCCGTCGCGACGTCAGTCTCCAACTCATCGGCAGGGTATACATTGCCTCTGTCCGCGTGGTCCTCTTGTACTGCTGAGACCTGACTGACTCACCCAGAAGACAAAAAACGATTGTTCGTTTTGAACAATCATTGTCTGCGTAGGATTGCTCGCGTGTGGTGGCTGCATCATGTGATTAACGCGGAAGTCCGAGAGCGAATGTTTGGAGCAAACATTCCTTCAAACCGTCATTCTTCAGCACTGCATGCTTTGGCTCGATCACGTATTGCGCACGCCAGCCTATCGCCTTCCCCGTCGAGCGTTATTTGCGCTCCCCGGAAGCGATTGGAAAAAGTGCCGCAGTGGACAACCAATGACGTGGAGAAGGAGCATGAGAAGGCAACCTCAAGCTTAGCATCCGTCCGACCTATCCGTCTTCTAGGATAGAGACCACGTGACTCTGTCTGCCAGCGGTTAGAACCGCTGGAGGTTATGGCGCGCAAAAGACATCAGTGGAGACAGTTGTTGGACCGCATTACCTAATAGTTAACATCTCATCGAACAAAAGCTCCAGAACACAAAAATCTCAAAATGGTGTGTGGGCCATGAGCTAGGTCCTTTGGGGCCACTGCAGAAGCGACGACGGGTCCTGCAGAGAATTACGGCGAGCCGGCGCAGCGTTTGTAGGCACGCTGAATTCGATTTACTAACCGCGTGCTTGCATGCTAAGTCTCTTTATTTCAGGTGGTGGGTTTACAGTTTTTACCTTACTGCTTTTCTTTCTCATATAAATATCTCCCTGTACTCTATTCTATTAACTTGCACATATCGCTTCAGCCAATTGTATTCGATTTCCATAACATTTTTGTGTTCGTGGCATTCCGTGAACTATACTTCTTGACCTCGTGCACTTAGCTAGGATGTGTTTGTAAACAACTTATTACGTATGCTATTTAATTAAGGTTTATGTCACCGTTTCCTTATGCATTAATCGAGTTTTTCTCTTTTTCTTTCTCTCTCTCAAGTGATTGGCTGTTGTTTGATATCCCCGGTGTGGCTGCGCTTGATGTGCATGTTGACAAGGTGCCTACCTGTCTATTACCCACTACCTCGTCCATACTGGCTCCAGGAGACAGTTGGTCGTTGCTGGGGGGGGGACGGGGTGCACGGTCCTTGTGGCCGTGCTAGGCTCGAAGAGTGGTTCCATGCACTCAGTGTGGAGCGGACTACGGTCCAGCCACCGCCTTGTGTGTGCGCTTGATTCCCCAAATACAGTGTGCTTGTGTTTGCCTGTGAAGGAGTGTGGGCCGGCTCCGTTGACGAAACGTGGCTCCCATCCGCATGCCTCCCAGTCTTATTCCTTCGGGTTTACACTGGATATGGGGTGTGTGGTTGGAGCTGTGGGTGGTGCAGCGCAAGCCATCCATGGTCCCTCTGTAGGCGCAGGCGTCCTGTGGCTTGCCACAGTGACAGGCAAATCCGAAACCGGATGCCACCAACCATATATATGTATGTATGTGTGCCCCATGCTGAGGCTGATGTTGCATTATTGATGCTTCTTCACCGCAGTTGGGCTAAACCAACTTACACTTAAACTAGGTCTCCTTAAGCTGCATAAATTTCATTCCAGTTTATTTGGTTAGTTTTGCCTATCTGAATAGTCTTCTATTAGCTGGCCACGTCGCTTACGCTAATTGCGCTTATCTTCGGTAATTTTGTTGCGTTTGTAGCATTTTTGAGTAACTTGTGGACATTTTCCTTATCACGGATTCATTGCTAACCAACTTACTTCATATGCTAACTTAGCGAAGAGTTATGCCACCGTATCTGTATGCATTATTGGATTTATGTTATTTCATTTTGTCGTTTCAAGTGATTGGCTGTTGCGTGCTATCCCCGGTGTGGCTGCGCTTGATGTGCATGTTGACAAGGTGCCTACCTGTCTATTACCCACTACCTCGTCCATACTGGCTCCAGGAGACAGTTGGTCGTTGCTGGGGGGGGGGGACGGGGTGCACGGTCCTTGTGGCTGTGCTAGGCTCGAAGAGTGGTTCCATGCACTCAGTGTGGAACGGACTACGGTCCAGCCACCGCCTTGTGTGCGCTTGATTCCCCAAATACAGCGTGCTTGTGTTTGCCTGTGAAGGAGTGTGGGCCGGCTCCGTTGATGAAACGTGGTTCCCATCCACATGCCTCCCGGTCTTATTCCTTCGGGTTTACACTGGATATGGGGTGTGTGGTTGGAGCTGTGGGTGGTGCAGCGCAAGCCACCCATGGTCCCTCTGTAGGCGCAGGCGTCCTGTGGCTTGCCACAGTGACAGGCAAATCCGAAACCGGATGCCGCCAACCATATATATATATATATTGGAAGTGTGTTTCCTACGGATGACCTTATCATGTGAAATAAATGAGAATATCCGTAGCTCAGGGTGTGAATGCGGATTTTGAGCGGTTCTCCGAGCTGAGTGATTATTGTGCAGATGTTTCGTTGCCTGACTAGGCAACATCATCAGTGCGGCTTCAGGGGCCTGGTTTGCAGTGCCTCGTAAGCGATTTCAATGTCCAATCGCTCAAAATCCGACCTTATCATGTAGCTATATGTCCTTTTCATCAACATACCGACTTTTATTCAATATCTGCGCAAACCCACTTACCGCAGTCTACGTACAGACATAAACGGGCTCTACAAAGCATGAAGTTGGACGCTAATGTTTAGATGCGACGGCTTATGGTTTTTCCTTGAACCAGACAGACCTCTTTTTGCATCACCACGGATTTCGTGGAGTCATTTACCCCTGTTCCGCTTTTTTCATTCCAACTGGACTTTCTATCATGGATTGGAAATGCACCAATTCCATCCAGTTTCTCTCGCCCAACCTAGGACCTAAACGCTTGTTTTTTGGGGGGAAATGTCCCCTGGGGTTGTCCGCTTCTTTGTACTCGGTTCAGTTAGTCGACTATGCTACGACCATTGAAGTGCAGTGGATCCAAAAATTTAAAAAAATAAATGTGTCTGCTGTACGCCGTAACATCGCTTCGCTGCCGTACGATCACCACCAATCGTACGCGGGCTGAGTATACCGCGAGGACGCCCATCTGTACGCGGATTTGAACCCGCACCGCAAGGTTACGAGACAAACTCGTTATCTCTAGGCTATGATGAATCCAGTCAGCATCAGTCACGTTGTCATCAAAATAACGGCACTTCTTTGTCAGTTGTTGACACATAAGGCAGAGATCGTTCTGCATGTTTGTTGAGCTCTCCGTTGGAAACCAGTCTTCAAGGAACTCCTGGCTTTAGAATCGCTGCTTTGTCGCATTCAAAGTTCTGCCCTTCGTCGACGTGTACCGAGGCGTGTGGAATCCTTTTTTGCAGTCTCTTTTGCGTACTTTTGTTATTGTTAACAGCTTTCTCTCTGTTTGGCTCACAGTTCTCCGCAGTTCTGGCACTGTGGGCTACATTCAGGTGGTGTGGGTTAGGTACTTCGCGTTGTCCTTTCCACTACGTTCTCTATATTATGAAAATTCATTTGACGAACTGTGTTCATCAATCAAACCGTCCTTTTATCTTTCCCGTTGGTCGGTGATGTTGCAAAATAGCATGAACAAAGTTGTCGATCCCCTACGCCGTTTGAGGTTTCCGAGATGTACCATACAAGTGCTCAGAGTCCTTATCGGTCAACAATCCGTCATGTAATCAATGGATCCCACGCTGTCTTCCTATCTGAGCCCTCTTGACTCATCTCCGTAACCTTTCTTCCATTATGTTCTCTGTAATACCCTCCTCTTTTTCCTATCGCTGTCACTTTAACAGAGTTTCGATCTTTGATGACTGTCTCTACCTCGCTTTATTGCCCTGACCACAGTTATCTCACTGGATTGCACTGTCTTTGGTGGTGTTTTATACCCTTGTCTTTACTCCGACTTCGTGTCTTCTCTTCATTAATGCTCCCATCGCACTTTACTTCGTAAAATTCCACCCGTGTTTTTCGCAACCGGTCTCAGCTATTATGCTTATATATATCTCGGATGGCTCCTTTAGAGCCACTGAAGTCATTCCCTGTGTCTCAACACCATACATGCCACTCTACTTGACTTTCCTTCCCAGTTATTGCTATCGTCGTTCCTCATTACCCTCCTTTCAACCTACCTTTCATCGCCGCACTACACAGGTCCTGCCACGCCAAACTTGTGGCGTATACAGTCACTACGTTCGATTGAGGGATTTTCCTGGTGGCTTGGACCGATTGCGTCGAATGATATTCGGTGGATCCCTATTTTTTACTGTTCTATTTAATCCAGTGAGTTTATGGTATAAAATTCTTTTTTTGTCTAATCCTTTTTGTTCGTTTATCTTTATCAGATTATTAATTATTAGGGAGACGGTATAATCTTGAAGGACTTACCGGACGCGGCTCCTGAGCTTTACAAGCAATTTTATGCTACGTCATTTTTGTCAGCATCCATTGTATTCAATGTTTTTTTCGGATAACTACGGCTACATATGTTCTCAAAGCCGATCCGTTTCTTCGATTCAGTTAAATGTCACGGATCGGAAGCTGTTTACCCCGTATCACTTTGGTTCCAATATTGAGGACGATGGACTGGAAGAGATAGGCAAACTCTCCTTCAGGAAGTTCTTCAAAATAATACTTGACTCATCGAGTAGCGCAGCCAGTATTTCAAGATGACAAACCGAATGTGTGTCTGTGCCTGTGACATCGCGATTTCGTCATTTTGCAAGGGATGTTGTACAACCGCCATAGCTAGTGCAGAGACCCTCGTCCAAAAAAGTATTACCCAATGCCGAACTTCAGTTTTCGTTATAGCTTTTTCTTGTCACGTCATCGATCGGTCATTTTTTAGTCTTGTGTAGCTAGGTGCAGTATCCGTAACATTGCTTATTGCTTTGGACCGTCGCTGGGGGACAAAGAATATGATTTTTAACTGGTGCGGGAGTCGAGTATACTAAGCGGTCTCTTACAATACCACAGGATCCGTTGCAACCATTAGCTGTGGAACATCTGTGTTGTTTAGTAGCCTGCGTTTTCTTTTCCGTCTCCATGGGTGGATGTGCCTGTGTCCCCCCGAAAGTCAAACCAGCTCACTCTTTTATGTGTCTCATGAGATCCGTTTCGGTCTATACATTACGTGGCCTCGAGCTTATGCTGAGCATCAACTTTCATGGTAAGTGGATGGGGGACCATGAACACTAGCTGGCGTCGCATTCCTCATACATGGCGCTTCCGCATTCGGCTATCAATTCTCCATTCACATTACTTTTGATCAATTTCTCATCCCTCCTTCTTTTTACAGTCTTTTAATGCACTCTATCTTTTTCTCGTCATTGTCCAAGCAAAGGGATCTACCGCGCCTCGGTGTCCCGATCATTGTTGTCTAGCAGAGCCGGACTGAGCCATAAGGTCCACTCTCAGCGCAACTTACCTCACGAGATTGGGGAAATCCCGATTGAGCGGACAGAAGCCTGCTTTGCGCATCTGACAAAATTTCCTGCAAACGAGCGAAATACATGTACTGCCTTTCACACACCCAAAAAGTTAAATAGGAACCAAAACTCGCTGAACGACTATCGTGATTTACCTCTGATTTTTGTACACCGACCTTTCCTCATCATAAACCCTCCCGAATACTTAGCTATCCATTTGCTGGTGACGCTATTGGGCCCTGCTAATTCCACCGATGGTGGAATACTTTAGGCCTTCGACTTGTAATCAGTTTGCCAATAAGCGTATGTTCAAGCGACGACCACATGCGACCACTGTTGGTTACGTCACTGATGACTGACGTAATGTAGGAGGATTCCATTATATTACTGTCGTTGCATTCTTTTCTTATTTTGACTATTTACCATCCCGTACTTCTGCGATTGTGCTTTCGTCATCCTCCGCTGTCATTTGTAGCGCCAATGCCCAAAGAATATGGTTGACCTGTGGAGCTGCAGTTCCCTCTTCACGCTCGAATACTTTCTAGTTGTCAGAAATTGGTGGAGGACCATTATTATTGTCCATCGCCCTCATTCCTGCCTTGCCAACATTCGAACTGTAGTTCGGCTCGGCTCCTGACCGAAAGAATCACAAGTCTGCCTTGTAATCCGGGGGTCTCAGGTTGGAGCCAGCGTAGGGAGCCTGATGAGCCTCGCAGTGCCCTTAGCCCATGCGCGACTACTGTTGGTTGCGTGGCAGCGAAGCGTCGGTACAGCGTACCGGCGCATCACTGACGCCTTCTTTCTTCTTCTGGCTTCGGATTGGCTAAAGAGCGGTTCTCTCGCAATTCTCTCCCGTATTTGAAATATACCGTTCATCTCTGATACCATTATAACACTAGCTTTCACCGAATCTTCGAGTACTCGGTCTGGTATCCCAAGATGGCTACACCCTTTTTACCTCTAAAAATCTTGAGCCTTTTGCCAGTGGCATCTTCCATTTCGCGATTTCACTCAATAGGCATGCGAAATGCACTCTATTCGGATAGATCCCAAGGAACTGTCACAGGCACGCAGCTAGACGTCGAACCTCCACCAGAGAGCGGCGTGAACCCCACTGACATTTTCCCTTTGTTTGTCAATGATACCTTATTCACGTGACAAAGACTCGGGGTCTTGTAATCATTTGCTTCGACACGAATTCTCACCTACCCTAGCTCGAACCCTGTTTTGCAGTCTGTCCAAAACCAGTGGCTTCCATTTTGAAGACACAAACAGATTTCCTCGACTTTTTATGGTTGCCATCTTAATACCAACGGTATAGCACTCCAGCGCAAATGTTCATCCCGTAATAACTAAAATCTACTAAAGGAAAGATTTCATCTGGATCAACTTCGGCGCTTGGCTATCAGCGTAGTGGGCTTACGTCAATTCAACTTTCCTTGCTCGCTGGGCCCACTCTGGTCATGCTTTCACGTGCGCCAGCGCAAGGATAACCCTTCCGACTCTAGCAGGGCTTTTCGAACTCGATTTTTCCCTACTAATTTTGCAGTTGTCGAAGTAGGCTTATAAACCAAGTTAAACTACTAGTTCAATATCACGGAATGTAAGCCTTTACAAAACCGATTTGTATTCAAGAACCTTCCGAAATATGGGCCCCAATTGCTTACCAATATGTCCCGAAATGATGAACACGCCGTCTAACGCATTTCCGGACGTGCAGTTGCTATCTGCTTGACTGCAACTGACGAATTTTCTCTGAACCCTTCTTTCCATCCTTTCACTTCTCTTTTGAGATTGGTAACTAACCGAGCTACCTTGTTAATCCATCAGACGATGATGGCTGCACAAGCGAATTCGTGTCTCTGTGAGCTCCAAACACCATGTCCTATGCATGTTGGAAGCGTGCGTTGGAGTGGTGGATGATTCTCACGCTTTCCCACAACTAGTGACCTGATCACAGCGACTCCGTAGCCTGACTTCAAAATGAAGGGTCACCGGATTGGTTGAATATGCAGCACTGACTTGACAGCAGTCGGACACTTTTCTGCAAATGCAGTTGTCACCATGGCTATGCGAGATGGAACACAACCGAGTCGTCCACTGTTGCGCAGACCATGAGTGGCTCAAGCTTTACGCCTAACTCGTTTTCCTTTCTTTTCGCTTCGCATCCTTCTTATTGGACATGCCACACGGGGGTGCAGCTTTTTGGGCCATATCCTTCCAGCGCCCCTATATATATATATATATATATATATATATATATATATATATATATATATATATATATATATATATATATATATATCAACTTGCTTATTTCAGTGGCATTTCTCAAAATATCCTGCGTGTGCTTAGTATTTAACAGACTAGCTCCCATTTGCATGCTTTTTTTAAACCCAGTTGCGTCTCATGTTGTTATCTCACAAAAATAAATTTGTGGGCTGTTTGATTTTACTGTGTCTTTCAATCCTCCGATACCTCAATGCCACGATTGGGTTCACTTAGTATGGCCGATATTTCCATGGAATCTACTTGCGCTGCCTCGCATTGCCTTCTCTTGACTTTTTCTGGGTCGCCGGAGCCACTTTTCACGTTATTCTTTCATCCATCGAACGGTCTTCTTGCTTCTGGACCGTTGCGCAATGCAGTGTATGTGGGGTGTCGGTGTTGGGGAAGCAACACCCAAATACCTCCATTGCTTTTATGCTCCCTGTGATCGGAATGATCGAGGTCTACTTCAAAGTGAACTAAGGTCTCATTAGAGATTGCGTGTCACAATCGGGCCACACAACGGATGCTACAACTGCAACAATATATGTTTATGTTTATCACTTTGCCACTAAACACCTGGCAGAGTGCCACAACACACGAATAAAAGCGAGGAAAGTGAGAGAGAAAAGATTGTCAGGAAAGGAGAGTCTCACATTGCGTTCTCTCTTGTTCGGCTCTGGATCATATCCGATCTTGTCCCCAACCACGTAGGCTTTCAGTCCTTAGATGCACAACTCGGGAGTAAGAAACGCCCTGCTGCATTTATACCCTGAATCCAAATCATGCGCTGATCACCTCTCCGTCGCATCCGTGCGCGAAAAGAGGGCGCGGTGGGGCTACCGCTGGACAGAAATGCGACACAAGACTGAGCCATCGAAACTTCAGCAGCCATCCTCTAATTGCTTCCCGAACTGTTGAACATTTTTGTAATGAATGATGACTACTATTTCTGGCTTGACCCCGCTCAGCACCCCCATGGTCACCACCTTTTCCCTCTTGTTGCAGTTGTCTATATTCATGACTCATATGCCAAACTTTAAGGGAGACCGATTGGCGTTATACATCTTCGATGCACTCTTCGAATTTATCCGTGATTGGACCAATCTCCGTCTGCAGACTGTGCCTCCCACAGAATTGGCTCTACTCTACTCTCAACAATTCGACAAATGGGGTGCGAACGATGCTCCGCTACACAGGGACCCTTGTGCGGATCGACATACTCGGGCATTGTGGCCAGTGAATTTACCTTGTGGTTCCGAATTTTTGCCCCATTTGGTTATCGTGGGCCCTCAAAAAACGGGTATGTCGCTAATGCTCTACCTTGATTTGACAGTAATGCTTTATAATACTAATGATAGCTATGAGTTGAAGTGAGCCTGAAATTGACTACGAATTCATGAGCTCCCAAGATTTTAACTATCATTCGGTTTTATGGTAACCTTTCGCTCTTGACGCAAGAGACCAAATGCGATATGTTGAGGATGGCGAAACGCTGCCTGACTCAGGACACTCGGGAACAAAATTTCATCAAGGATCATCAATATCCCCATTGTTGACAAATTTGTGTATGGAAAGCTGAGAGGCGAGCGATGACAAACTCAGTTAGTTCATCAAAATTTCGGTGGCGCTATTGTGCTTATACGAAGCAATAGGTAAATCCACATATGAGAATATAAACTTTACTCTCGAATTAGCATCTTGCAGTGGCACGTTGCCATTCTCTAAGACCTGGCATCATTGATTCGTTATTATACACGTTAGTTAGAGGTGTGAAACACTGCCGCTATTGTATCGCCATAGGTGGGAAAGGGAAAAAAGACGCAACAGAGACACGCCAACTGTGCCACCGGTAACGGGTGGACATCGTTCCGGAGAACTAGCAAACGGCTATTTCGCAGAGAGAAAATGTTTTATTTTGTAATAAAGGTGTGTAGAGGGGGAAGATAACCAGCAACAGGAGGGACAATGAAACAACTCAAATGCCAATGGGTTCGGCTCCTAGCCATCTCAATGGGTGTATCCAGCCAAACATGTTCATCGTCTTTCGCGCCCCAACCAGAAAGCCGAGAGGCTTCAACCGAGACCAACTTCAAACTAAAGGCCTCTTGGCCAACCCTTCTTTAACCATCCACACCCAGGTCGCGCAAACAATGCACTTCCTAGGAGTCGGTGTGCTGGCATTCGCAACACGTGGCCTAGCTATCGAAGCCTGGTTCGTGAAACAACGGTGCTGAGCAGTTCACTTCCTCTTCTTGTGCTACAAACAAGGCGTCGAACACCCTCATAACTCACACGGTGTTCCCACCAGATATGAGCCAAACTGTGGAGGAACCGGTGATCGAATGTAATAGGCCTCTTTATGTTTGCAGATCTAATGGGTCAGGTTTCACAATCGTACAATAGGGTCGAACGTACAGCTGTATTGTACATTCTACCCTTCATGGAGAGAGTGATATCGCGTCGCCGCCATATGTGACAAATGTTAACAAAAGCGCCTCCAGCTTTTGCTATACGGTACGTGACTTCGTCTCCGATACTACATGTGCTGATACAACTGCTTTGCTAGTAGAATTTCTGAACGACATCTAGCTGATCCTCACCAGTGGTCAGCGCAAGTGGCGATCCTTGGAGGAATCCTTTGCACTTTGAGGAGATAAAAAAATCCCGAAGCGACGGATAGCCAGCGCTATTCTGTCTAGGGCTGCTTGGCACGTTTGTGAGCTGTCATAGACAAAGGCAATGTCATCAACCTACTCCAAATCAAGAAGTCGTTGACTTGGGAGCTACTCCACACCTAAGCCGTGTCCAGTGAATGCGATTTCCATGACTTGGTCAGTAACACAGTTGAAGAGGAAGGTTATACCGGGCATTTTTGTCTTACACGTCGGTGACAGCGTACCGTAAGCCCTCACTCTACCCGAGCTACGCATGTAAAACGTTTGGATAATATTTACATATTTCTCTGGCACATCTTTCCTTAGCAGGCAGTCCCCTAGAACACAGCGATTAACCGAATCGAAGGCACCTTTAATATCTAGGAATACGACTACAACGGGCCGCCAATATATGTGACAGTGCTGCAACAATGGACGTGGTTTAGATGTAATCGATACAACTTCAATGAAACCCGGCTTGTTCTACATGCAGCTAGCCTTCATGAGTTCTACTCAGTTTGAAGGACGAGGCAAGTAACTTGGAGGCGATGAAGCTTAGAGGGATTCCTCAATAGTTGCCGCATTCCGAACGTGAGCGTGCCTTGATATTCGAGACAATGAAGGAGCGGCTTCAATCGGTTGGGACGGTTTCCCGCTCCCACAATTACACTAATAACTCGTGTAAATCATCAACAGGAGCAGCCCCTGCGTTTGGGGAGAGCTGGAGGAAGATCACCTGGTCCCGCGGCCTTATTCAGTTTCAGCAATCCGATCTCACATTCTACTTATGAGCGAGAGGGCAGATCCAAAGGGACAGCCCACAGAGCAGGACGATCACTGGCCGATGAGAAATCTGACAATTCCGGTCGATTAACTTGCCTTTCGACGCTCTAATTGTTTTGATTAGTTGTAGATCGGTTGTCCACTCTCTTCGCATATACTCAGACTTACACTTAATGTCATGTTACCGATTTCCTGTATCCAGTGGCCACTTCCATCTCCAATGCATACTGAGATCAGCAGGCTTTGCGGTTTCTCCCTAAAGTAGCACGGTTTTGCCTTGAGATCTTTGTGAGTCACCTTGTGTTCGCTTCCAGCCAGAAAGTGCCGACGAGCATGGATAAGTCGAAGTGACTGCGAACAAACCCAACGTCCAAGTTTTTTCCTACTTGAGGGCTTGCCTGCTGCTAATAAGGTCTTGTGAACATGCTGCCAGTGAACTTTGACTGTAATCATTAAGTACCTACTCAACCCGAATGCCATCATACTTCGGCACGCATTCAGGACATCTGTTATCGGCAGTTGGCGAGTGTTTATGCACTCCCAGCGTCGTCGATGGCGTCCGCTGAAACGCACCCGCAGATCGGCACATACAAGTGCATGGTCATTCTTCACACAATTTTGGACGAAGCCTCTTCAGCGGTAACCGATCACAATGTGATCGATCTGATTCCATGGCTGGTTTGAGGCGCGTGAGTGCCATGTAACCTTCCGGCGAGTGCTGTGTCGAAACTTAATGCTCGCAAGAAATAGGCGTGCACCTTCACGCAAATGAAGTAACCGCTCACCGTTATCATTACGTGAGCCTACACCGTGTTGGCCGTCCAGATACAGCTCATCAGTGGACAAACTTCCAACTTGAGAGTTCAGGTTCCCAGCCCGCACTACATTATCCACCCTTCGTCTGTGACAAAGGAGCTGGTTTAGTTAGCGGTAGAAGTCGTCTTTCAGCAAATCAGCGCTACGGTTTGTAGGCGCGTTGGCCACAATGACAAGCAGACATCGTTTGTCCGCGCGCGCCTTCGAAGCTTTAAATGAGCTAGCCAGTGGGACCGCACACATCCGGCTACTGATTAGGATCCAATCAACTAGAACAGTTCTAGAGACTCAGAACAATACCAACGCACTCGCAGCTGCATCATCTTTGGATAGACGCAATCAGAAAGCACTGCTAGCGTCATCTGAAGGAGATTGCAGAGCAGGTTTCCGATAGGCAGCAGATAGCCATTGAGAGTGTCTCACATGTTCAGGCAAATGCTGCCTGTTGGCCGATCTGAAACTGTGCGTACGTTGGCGATCGAGGGCTCCAAATAGAAGTCGATGAATGGAGCTTGTCCGCTTGGTTGGACATAAGCTTGTCGGAAGGGCAGGAGTGTCGCGCCATTTGCGAGTTAATTTAAACTAACAGATAAACACCTATCAAGGCAAGTTGGGTAAGGGTCATGAATTGGGGGCGGGGGGCTTGAAAACACAGGAGATAAAAGTGAAGTTGTTATGGGATGACAAAGGTGCAAAAGCACTAGAGTGCAATGCAAAGACAGGAAGGCTTGAACAGTAGCATCCAAACCCCTATATCCACTGCGTTTGATGCAGCAGCAAGGTGCCCTTGATTATTCTCTGCCATGGTCACAGCATTAGGAAATTGGTTGAATACAGATTCATTGTGTTGTACTGCGTGGGCAAGATACTGCCACGCTGCCCAGGCCTAGACAGGAGAACTATTGGGGTACTCAACCGAATCCTTTGGTTCAAAAACTTTACTGCAAGGCATCAGGTTTGGAAGTAAGCTAGAAAAGTCCGTGTCATGTAGTAAGGAGCCACCCTCACTCTAACCTCCAACCTGGAGGACCATGAGGCTGGGTTGTCGGGCCCCTACCTGTTGATCCATCCGGTATGAGTGATTCTGAAAATGCAAGAAGCACCAGCCAGCACAACATGGTCAAGTCCAGTCTCACGGGTGATCCTTGAAGCAATGTGATTTTACTTTTGCATAGGCAATGCATGTGTGGGTGAATATTGTCTGTGCGTGTGATTCAGTGAGTTCTGGTCTAAGGAAAGTGTGTGAGTTAGGAGCTGAAGCTGGATGCGTGGGTGCTTTGCGTCGATTCTACGTGTTCAACATACTCGTAACTGGTTACTGGTATGCTGTTCTCCTCTGATGTGTAGCTTGATAAACGCGCATGGGAAATATACCGTTACTCCTTGGTTCATGCTTCTTTTCTTCCAAACAGGAGTAGTTTACGCATGGAAGACACCAGTTTTTTGTCAGTTGTTCCCAACTTTCTTTGTTTCATATCAAATTGCTATTCCCGAGGCTTGATGGACACTGCTGTCCGCTTCGAGGATACTCCGTAGACAGCCAGTGGCACTTGCTTTGTGCGCATATCCTCTGGTTTTATTTGCAAGATATTATTTGGTCCATCTTTTGACAATTCACCAGCTGATTCCCCACCAGAACATTATCATACTTGTGCACAGTGATCGCCTAGTGTATCATGTCTACTACCAGGCGTGTAGCGCTGTTTCAACTGCAACACCTTCCAATAAAGATCTGCCCGTGTGTAGCAGTCCTCTACGCGATAGGCTTCCACACTTTGCATTGACTATTTATGTTATTGATTCCACCGCTCCTATTAGGACTAGGATCATTTCTTATCGGTGTGCTGGTCAAGGCAGCGCGCGGTCCGGATTCCGGTGCGACCAGTTGTACAGCTTTTGCGCAGTAATATATACATCACCTTTTGAAAAGGTGGACTGTTCACAACGAGTCGGCCGGTGGCCGATTGCTATGGGGCCTCTGTCTTGTAACCCATGGATCAACGGTTCGAACCCGCGTGAGTGCGCTGGTGACTTCGCGGTATCCTTA